TGCGGCGATCGAACATGTTCCGCTTCAAGGACAGGGTTACTTTCCCGGAAGGGAACAATTTCCATCCATCTATTGACCGTAGCTTTAATTCTCTGGTGTACAGATTCGTCGTCACAGATGGACGCAGCTGAGCACCTGTTAAAACCTGATTTTATTAATTTCATTAACATTCATTCGTTCGGTCGTTTGTTCATTCATTCCAGTTACATCTTTTGCTTCCCTTAACCTGGACAGCATGCATGATTACGTGTCTATTGTGAACCTAACTCTTCTTCCTCAGATTTGCTTTCAAAACCGCCTCGTTGCCAGTACTGTTCACTCCTGAACCGTTCGCTTAGGTTTCATCGAGGATAACTGAGGATAAGAAAATCACATGCAAAGAGCAATTAGGTGCAACAATCACATGCAATCACTTCAAGTGAGGTTCATCCAAAATCAGTCAAGAACCATTAAATTTTTTGAAAGTCTCCTAACGGGCTGCCATGAATAACAGATTAATACAGCAGTAATATTGTTCATGAACAATAGAACGAACCATTGCTGGTATCAGTAGAATACAGCATGGATGTCGTCACACAGAATATAAGATGTAACTGTAAAGACGAAAAAAAAGATTAAACGTAGCACATTTTGATATAATAAAACTAGTAAACTTTTGCAGCACCACATAATTACAGTGAACAGGAGTGCATTATATAGTCGCATACGCGCATCAATTTTGCCAAACAATGTGTCAAAATACTTATACTGGATTTACCTGTAGAAAACTATTGAGTGTGGCTAACTGTACATAATTCCTTCAAAAATTTCACCATACAGCCGTAATTATTACGCAGGCAACAAGGAGACATTTTGAAACTAATTGATGTATAACACACTTTCCAGCCTCTTCGCTTGTTTATTCAAAGATGAGATCTTGAAGAAACGATGAACTGAAAGAGACGACTTTCTACTTCCACTGTGACTATGGCGATCATGTTTTTAGTGGCATCGTGAATTACGAAAAATTCTGCAAAAAACGCTTTCTTAAGTTTTTATAAAGATTTGCCTCTACGAGGAAACAGCACTCTTCTCTTACGATAGCATTTTAAATGGCAGTCATAGGGGAATTTTTGTCTGGGTATGGGGTTATTGCAAAGTATTCTATTACCTCAAATGACAACACTGAGGCGTCAAAGTGGAAAA